CTGATGCACAAGACATTCATGCTAATTAGATTGTGAATATTAAGAGATGTATAAACGTCGAACTTTATTGAAGATTGACGCTAAATTGTATTACATGTATGACAAAATGTAATTATTTTCTTAGCTATTATTTCCTCTTTCAATTGAAAGCACATTAAATATTCAGAAAGGAAATTTTTTCCTGGTTATTTCTAAGTAAAAATCATTATAGTAAAAATAAAAGATGCAAGACTTATAGAAAATCAAAAAGCTTAGTAATTCTTTGAATACAACATTTACTATAACTTTAAAAAATGTAAACAATTCAAATAAAAGTCACAAAAAAATACTTTCTACTTTAAATTCACATGGTGACAAGATATAATAATAACATACAATGCATTGTAAAATTAAAATATAAAAATATATTTAAGACCGTGAAATCTTGGTTGGCAGGGCGCTGCACTCACGTTTGAGGGAAAGGGAGTTCGAATACGGCCGGCCGAAGACTCCCCGTTTAGTAAATGGTGACTAGTGCACGTCAAATCTGTCGGATCACAAAGTCCTCCATGTTCCCATAACAAATCAATACCTCTGGGAGTACTGAATTGGAGATTGATCGTTCTCTGGTTCAGGTCAAAATTACGATCTGTGGATGAATGAATGGGTTCGTCTTATAAACATATGTGACGTATGGTTGTGGCAGAAGTCGAATTCTTGGCCATAGATGGCGCAACTAAAAACAAGAATAATCGCGACCCCTTTGCCAGAATGGCAGACAACACTGAAATATATAAAACTAACCACTTTTGGCGACCAGGTCGGTCAATTTTTAAAATTATCTTGCGCAACCTATAAATATAATGGTAATTAAGCCGAATGCATAGCACAGCCGTATTAAAAATTCTAACTCTTCTACCCCTCCACCAATCTTAACATCTTATCGTAATTAGTTTTAAACACTATACACTGCTGTCCACCGTTAATGCAACTCCATGAAGGAGCATGCAAATAGCATGAAATTTACAACATGCATTAGCGGAGGTGAGATATGCAAGTGATTAGAGTATCAGCGCAGACGCACATTACGCGCGCCTGTGGTGCCACTTCAAAGCGCTATATAAAGCTTGGAGATTTCGACGATTTCAAGTTCGGCAATTGTGTTTTTCTTTTGGTTTTTTTCAAAAAACGATTAATTATGCCTCGTAGAAAACAGCGATCATCTTTTGATCTAGTATCCGAGTTCGACAGAGGAAGGATAGTAACATACCGAGATTGTGGATTATCTTTCAGGGAAATCAGTAGTCGTGTTGGACGAAACCAAACAACTGTAATGCGGATATGTGATCGTTGGATGCAGGCTTTTTGTGCTCTTTAACGTTGTTTACCTTAGTTTGTATGTTTAGCACAAAGGTAGCCCACTTATGTATTTATGATTTATTGTTGTTTTTTACCTCACTTGATCGGCAGCAATATCTTAATCAAGTTTATAATCTAATATATATAATTCTCTTAGGTGGCTCCCAAATTTTGGCTGTATTTCTTTTCCGCCGGTGGCAACGTTTTCTTTGTTTCGTTTACGTTACTATTTCTCTTACACNTGCAGGCTTTTTGTGCTCTTTAACGTTGTTTACCTTAGTTTGTATGTTTAGCACAAAGGTAGCCCACTTATGTATTTATGATTTATTGTTGTTTTTTACCTCACTTTATCGGCAGCAATATCTTAATCAAGTTTATAATTAATAATAATTTTAAAAAAAAAGGAAGAGCCCCCATACAAGTAAAAAATTGCTGACTTTCCTGGCAGCTAATGTATTTTTAAATATGAGCAGGAGAGTTTTTGAGACAAATTACATTTCAAATATGACTTATAACTCGACAAATTTATGATTTATTCATTTACTGGGGATTTGACTATTTAAGGATTTAACCACTTATTTAATGAGCAAATTTATGGCAATAACTACGTGCGTTATGGCAGTAATTACACTGTAAAAAATTTAATGTATTTCAATGAAAAAATTGGTGGTAACTACTTCACAACTAAAGTGTTGTGAAACGCCATGCGTAACTATTTGATTTAATGCTTCACTACACTAATATTCCTTTAAACTACTTCGTATTAAGATGACGCCATCATTTTTGTTATTTAGTTACACCAAACTTTACAAATGAGATTAGATACACATAAAAGTCAGTGAAGTTATTTTTACAAAGTAAGGTAGGAATGCAGGTCTAAACTAATTCTTAAAATAACATTAGGTTATAAATCAAACATGCGCAGATTACAGAGAAAATAAATATTAATACGAATTCGAACTAGGCTTAACAGAACGGAAGCTGATAAAAATTATGCTTTATAAAATCATTTAATACAGTTCTCAGAGATTTAAAAAAATTGAAATATAATTTTCCTTATTACACAACTAAAACAAACATTCATATTTGGCGACGAAATTTGACTTCTGTTGATGGATGTTAGTGTTTGAAAATATCAACATACTCTTGCCAACTCATTCCAGATAGTAAACAAAATTCTCGCGAGATTCTATTCGGCGTTTCTTGATATTGATGTTTCTTGATATTTTGACATTCTAAGAAAGCTATTATTGGTGTTTTTGGATATAATATAATATAATGTAAGTTAAGAAAGCTTGCCTAAACTAATTCCTAAAAAAACATTAGTTTCTAAACCAAACATACGCGTAGTGCAGAGAAAATATTAACACAGATTCGAACTAGGCTTAACAGAATGGAAAGAGATTATGCTTTATAAAATCCTTTAATACAGTTCTCAGCGATTAAAAAAATTAAAATATAATTTTCCTTCTTACACAAGTAAACACATACATTCATACTTGACAGGCGAAATTTGACTTCTGCTGATGAATGTCAGTGTTTCAAACTAACAAACTCTTGTCAACTCTTTTCAGATAGTAAACAGACTACTCGCGATATTCTATTTGAAGTATTTCGATATTGATATTACTTGATATTTTGAAGTTCTGAGAGCAATAATAGTGGTGTTTTCAGAAATGAAAATAATTCTCATGCGGTGAAGCAGAAGAGCTGCTGAAAAATTACTCAAATTTAAATGTTTCGATTTAAATTGCATCTTTTAAATTGAATATGAACGCTCAATTCGGTGTTAACCCGGAAGTTTTCTTTTACTCGATATTTTGGGGTGCTCAATATTATATTCGAAGAGATATTACACCACCGTTTTTACAGTGTAGTATTCATTTATGTGTGTAAAATGTATGAATTATCTTTTTGTTGTTGTTCCATTTAGATATTTATCTTATAATCCAATCCAAGAAATAGAGGACGGGGCTTTCATTGGTCTAAAAAGCTTGGAAGAATTGTAAGTACTTTTAGTGTTCTTAAGAAATATGTTTAAATATGTTTTATTAAATGAAGCAATTTGCACCAAATACTGATAAGTTTTAAAAATTCAAAAAAGAATGAGCATAATGTGGGCATAAGGGGATATTAATAAAGTCATAGAAACTTATTTCTGCAAGTTTTAATGTTTCATTAAAAATTTATTTTGTTATAAACTATTCAACTTAACGATTGTATCAAAACTCTCTAATTGTGCAACCTCTAACAATTTTTCTTTCAAAAAATTTGAGAATAAAGTTATCAGAAACGCAATTTAACTATCATAGTTATTATTACGTAGTGTTAAATGATTTTTAGAATAATGAAATAGTATGCATAAATATGAGTTCAACATTAAATATCAATACTGGCATAACGTAATCAAAAATATCAATGCTATATCACACAGCAATGCTGTCTTAACACAGATTGTTTAAAAAAAGAACTAAAAATAACTGAAAAAAATTAAATTGGAAAAAAGGGAAGGAGATATAAATGTACCTTTTTCTCTGTTCTGGCTAGCAAGCCAGTATATTTATTTACGTTTGTCTTTGTTCTTAGTAAGCCAGTGTATTTAGACACGCTTTTCTCTGTTCTGGTAAGTAAGCCAGTATATTAATTTACGTTTGTCTTTGTTCTTAGTCAGTCAGTGTGTTTAGACACGCTTTTCTCTGTTCTGGTTAGTAAGCCTGTATATCCATTTACGTTTGTCTTTGCTCTTAGTAAGCCAGTGTATTTATACACGCTTTTCTCTGTTCTGGTCAGTAAGCCAGTATATTCATTTACGTTTGTCTTTGTTCTTAGTCAGCCAGTGTATTTAGACACGCTTTTCTGAGTTCTGGTTAGTAAGCCAGTATATTCATTTACGTTTGTCTTTGTTCTTAGTCAGCTAGTGTATTTAGACACGCTTTTCTCAGTTCTGGTTAGTAAGACAATATATTTATTTCAAATGTGGTTTAAAAGCAAGAATATCTTTTCTGTATATGGTTCAAAAATTTCATCATAAAATAGAGCTTTTGTTGGGAGAACTAAAAATCTATATCTTTCTTCTGCGTTTTAAACTATTGAAACAGAATAATTTCTTTTTGTTTGAGTTTTTTTCTCAGATTGCACCATGTGGTTACAGGAAAAAAGAGGTTATTTCGGAAAAGTTCGTTAATTAATTTTCTCAGTTGATAACTACGCAAGTTTTGCAACTATATTCAATACTTCCTGACATTAAGTTAACTGATTTCTTATGCAAAACTCAGAGTACTATGCATTTTTAGATCTTTCTACTTTTTTTACTGATTTTTCGAATCATCAATCACAATTTTTGAAAAATCGCAGCTATCAAAATTTCATCAAATGCTACATTATGTAGTTTCAATGAAGTATATTAGAGTGTTGCTATACTAAAATATTCATTATTTTCAAAAATTTAAAATTGATAATATCAAATTTTGAAAAGAAGGACTTTACAAAACATTGGATAGATATGAAATCAAAGTGATATGGCAGAAGTAAAGGTATATCAGTTTATTTTCATCCAAATTTAATGTTCAATAGGTTTTTTAAATTTAAGTAGCTGTATTGAAATTAATGTAATTAAGCTTAATACATTAATTATTAAGTGCATATGTTTTTAAAAATTTTAGATCTCTTCGCCATTGTTTAATATCATCTATAACTATATCAACTTTCCAACCTCTACTGAAATTAAAAGCATTGTGAGTATTTTTTTCATTTCTTATTGATTTTTGGTGCTCAAAATAAAAAATGGATTAACTTGGAGAATTTTTGATCAAATGATCGGATTTTCATGTTCCAGGACTCAATCTTAATGGTTCGAAGGAGTGATCTCAAAATGCTAAATAATTAATGCAGACGATATTTTAATTACGAAATCAGATACAAAAACGTACTTTCCCTGAATAAACTTACCTTTTTTTTCCCGACAAATTCAAATTTCCGAACCTCTAAGTATGGAGGAAGGGATAGCCACAGTGTGGGAAATATAGTCCCAATAGTTCGGTCAGGAGAGCGATCGAAAGTTGGGACCCCTTAATGTTAATTTTATATTTTTCGCATTTCACCATAATACGAGGTATAGTGAAATACCCAAATCTGCGCTAACTAGTTAGCATATTTGAGGTCACTCCATCGAGTCTTTAAAATTATGTCATACAACGTGAAGATCAAAAGCTATTAGGGTGGTTCGTTTATATTTTTTGAGCACTGCACATGCGCAGATATTAATATAACGACAAAATTATTATGCAATCTTTCATGGTCTTGAATGTTTATCTATTAATGCTGAATGTTTTGGTATAAAGACTTACTCATCAAAAATTGTATATATATATATATAAACACAAGTAATAAAGTAATATAAAATAAAAAACTATTAATGGGAAAAACCAAAAGTCCTCCTCAGGACACATTTTTTGGTATAATTTAATGCTATATTTCTGAATAAGGAATAATTATCCCAAGACAAAAATTATTCTTCATAATGTGACGATAACGCTAAAAAATTCAGTTGAAAAAGAGAATGAAAAAAAGAAAGAAGAAACCAAACTTACCGGCGTGTAGCAAAATGTGGGTTATATATATATATANTTCGTTAAATAGAAGTCCGACTGTATATATATATATATATATATATATATATATATATCATTTTAGTCATATCAATTATTTAATTGTAACAAATTTTATTCTCAAATAAAATATATTTAAGATAAAAAAAAAAGGAAAAATGATTTATTTTTAAACTAATTTCCTTATCCTCTAAAACAGCCCCATTCCCCCCCCCCTTCGTTTTATACATTAATTTCATCTCCTTCCGATTACAAGGTATTTAAGCAGAAATAAATTAGTTTCTTTACAAATAACATGAAATTAATTTAATTACTTTCGGTTTAGGTAATTCTTTTATTTACCTACTTACTTCCTAATAAAAACTTTCTTTTGTTTTCAGTGTTTTTTTATAACCTCATAAGTATATATTCTTCAGTATTAATGCAATTTATGAAAGATTAAATGTCTTCCAGGTTTGTTTGAGTATTTTTCTTTCTTTCCGTTTCTCTGAATGGTTTTTTCCCCCCTGAATTTCTCTTTGAGTTAATTAATAACATTCGGATCTTGAATTATTTAAGTATTATTTTTTTCGCTTGATTATACCGATATTATGATTTTAAGCTTAGATTAAGTCGTATATTGTATTCACCGAATTCAGAGTAACAGCTCCTAATTAAGTCTTACTTAAAAGATTTCAGTATAATTACTAAATTTTATTGATTGAACATTTACGATAATTAAAACTTCAACAGAAATAAAAAAAAATACACTAAATTATTAAAATCATATAAAACGATAAAATGGACTTAATTTTTTTTAAGGGCAAAGTTTTAATTGATTTCTGCTTCTTAATGATCTAAGTTCTCCTATGTTTTACTTTAAGACTTGCGCACTTTAAAATTCCATGGAATTAAAAAGGTAAAAGAAGAGTAAAAGAACAAACTGCAAAATGGTACTATAATGTGTAGGTTTAGCACCTAGTTCTGCATCTTATTGTTCAATGTGATAAATGCAAGTTTACCTATTTATAGAGCCAAGTATTTTTAAGTTACGTTTAGATAAGAAAGCAAAGAACTAAAAACAAAATGTTCCGTAAATCTCACTGTTTATTTATATTTTTTTGAAATCTGGTAAAAAAACTAAGTAAAGAAAAGATAAATGCAGAGTTACAAATTAATGTTTAAAGGAGAGAAAAAAGAGAAAATGGTCATTAAATTTTAGTAAACGCTTAAAAATCAAGACGAAGATTAAAGATATTAAAAGTTGTTTAATTGCCAAAAAAAAACTTAGGTGAAAAGAGATAATTTGAAACGCTTTCAAATTAACCCGACAAAATAGAATACTGGCTTTATTGGGTTTAATTCCGCCTTTTTCTGTAACGATTCATCAGATTTTAACCAATTTTTCGCATTTTTCACAATTAAGTATTTGTTACAATTAAGTAATGTAAGCTTTTAGACTTTTTTCCTCTTGAAACATGCTACATGTACTAATGACATCGTCCTTAGGCACGTTAGGCCATTATACGTTTGGCATGACTGTGCAGAAATATGGTCTAATCTGGGAAAACGGTTGAATCTCAGAGGAAGAAATCCGTCTTCATATCGGATTCTCCATGACACCTTACATGTCATTAGCAAATCTCCTTTAAAAAATTTACGCGTGGTTGGTTACTGACAGCGGGACAAATTATGAGAGAATGATCCAGTTCCCTTCATTGAGTTTCTGGAGCCTTCTCCAAACTAATTTGACGATGCCGTTCGAAAAGTTTAATCGGTTAGAATAGAAGAGTGGAGATATTCCTTTCTTCCTTTTTGGTATAAATATTCGACTTTGTGTAGAATTCAAATGTTTTGAAGTCATACTTTTCATTTTAATATAAAATATTTCCCTACGCTACTACAGAGAATATTTTGTGTCAATATTTCATCAAAATAAAAATTTGTACAAAATATATAATTAGAAATGGAGAATATTATTGGTGCATTTAAAGTAGAATGATCAAACCACATTCTTTAGAAATATATTCTAAGTTTCTAAAAATCGGGAATTATTCTTTAAGATTTTACAACTTTTATTGTAATTCATTTTTCCGAAAGAAATATTTAAAATAGTGATAAAACAACTATTATTTAACTCAGAATAATGACGTCATGTAAAATTTAAGAATTGAATCAATCGAAAATTCAACCCTTAAAAAATTAACAATAAACGATTAACTTCTCAAAAGTTGAAGAAATTCGGTGTGGGCTTTAAAAGCTCCGTGTCGTGGAACAGGTTGCATGTGTGAGACATTGCTGTATGTGTGAGACATTTGCAATTGTACCACAAGAAAAATTGCGCTTTTCTGACGAGAACGCACACGTATATCATTACAGTGAACGTGGTTTATTGATGCCCTGGAATTCACATGTCCCCATTTTGAATTCCAGAGTAAACGATAACGATAAAGCCAGCACTGCACGTGGTTGCATCAGACGATGAAGTGCGCAACTGGTGGAAATTATGAAACCATCAGTGACCTAATTCTTACTGGAGATCTGGAATTTATCGTCTCATGTCCAACTGGGATATATGTATTGAGTGCTTTTGGCAATCATTTTTAAAATTAAACCCAACCAATTGTATGGTTGTCTCATGTCCAACTGGAATATATGTATTGAGTGCTTTTGGCAATCATTTTTAAAATGAAACCAAACCGATTGTATGGTTGTTTCATGTCCAACTGAGATATATGTANCGGATCAAAGAATATGGGGGTAGCCTCAGTCTGGGAAATATGGTCCCAATAGTTCGGTCAGGAGAGCGATCGAAAGTTGGGATCCCTTAATATTAATTTTACATTTTTCTCATTTCACCATATTTCGAGGTATAGTGAAATACCCAAATCTGCACTAACTAATTAGCATATTTGAGGCCACTCCATAGAACCATTAAGATTATGTCATACAACGTGAAGATCAAAAGTTGTTTAGGGTGGTTCGTTTATATTTTTTGCGCACTGCACATGTACAGGTAATAACCTAACGACAAAAATTATTATGCAATCTTTCATGGTGTTGAATGTTTATTAATTAATGCGGAATGTTTTGGTATAAAGACTTACTCATCAAAAATTTTATATATATATATATAAACACAAATAATAAAGTAATAGAAAATAGAAAACTATTAATGGGAAAAACAAAAGTCCTCCTCAGGGCACATTTTTCGGCATAAATTAATGCGATATTTCTGAATAAAGAACAATTATTCTAAGATAAAAATTATTCTTTCTAATGTGACGATAACGCTAAAAAATTCAGTTGAAAAAGAGTATGAAAAAAAGAAAGCAGAAACCAAACTTACCGGCGTGTAGCAAAATATGGGTTAGATTTAAAAGTAAAATACTAAATTAACAGTTAACACACACACACACACATATATATATATTCAGAATGCTTACGTTTTTTGCTCAACTGCGCTAAAAAATATCATGTTGCTCTTTTGCGTAACAAAAAATATTCTATTTAGAAGCACTGTTAGAAACTTCCTTTTAAATATCTACATTCATCATTTTAGTCATAACAACTATTTAATTGTAAAAAATTTAATTCTCAAATAAAATATACTTAAGATCAAAATAAAAATAAGAAATTAGCTTTTAAGCTAATTTCCGTATCCTCTAAAACAGCCACATTTTTTTTCTTTTTCGTTTTATTCATTAATTTCAATTCCTTCCGATTACAAGGTATTTAAGAAGAAATGAATTAGTTTCTTTACAAATAACAGGAAATTAATTTAATTACTTTCGGGTTAAGTAATTCTTTTATTTATCTTCTTACTTCCTTACAGAAGCATTTTTTTTTGCTTTAAGTGTTTTTTAATAATCTTATAAATATATTTTCTTCAGTACTAATGCAATTTATGAAAGATTAAACGTCTTCCAGGTTTGTTTGAGTAATTTTATTTCTTTCTGTTTCTCTGAATGGTTTTTTTTCCTGAATTTCTCCTTTGAGTTAATTAATAACATTCAGATAATGAATTATTTAAGCATTATTTTTTTCGCTTGATTATCTCGATACAATGATTTTAAACATAGATTAAGTCGTATATTGTATTCACCGAATTTAGAGTAAAAGCTCCTAGTTAAGTCTTACTTAAAAGATTTCAGTATAATAACTACATTTTATAGATTGAACATTTACGATAATTAAAACTTCAACAGAAATAAAAAAAAGTATACTGAATTATTAAAATCATATAAGACGATCAAAGGATTTAAATTTTTTTAAGGGCAAAAGTTTTAATTGATTTCTAATTCTTAATGATCTAAGTTCTCCTTTGTTTTACTTTAAGACTTACGCACTTTAAAATGCCATAGAATTAAGAAGGTAAAAGAGGAGTAAAAGAAGAACAAACTGCAAAATGGTACTATAATGTGTAGGTTTAGCACCTAGTTCTGCATCTTACTGTTCAATGTGATAAATGCAAGTTTAAATATTTATAGAGCCAAGTATTTTTAAATTACGTTTAGTTAAGAAAGCAAAGAACTAAGAACAAAATGTTCCGTAAATCTCACTGCTTATTGATATTTTTTTGAAATCTTGTGAAAAATTAAGTGAAGAAAAGATAAATATAGTGTTACAAATTAATGTTTAAAGGAAAAAAAAAGAGAAAATGGTCATAAAAGTTTAGTAAACACTTAAAAATCAAGACGAAGATAGAGATATTAAAAGCTGTTTGATTGCCAAAAAAAACTTAGGTGAAAAGGGATAATTTGAAACGCTTTCAAATTAACCGGACAAAATAAACTCATGTTTGTGAAAATTGCATGCAACACCATAAAGGACTTATGCGAGTGAGCTGAAATTTTCAGGAAATGCAAAGTAGAACATGATATGTCATTGATTAGAATTTCAGATCCGTAGCGCATGCGTATGCCGAGTAGCGCCCTCTGAACTGCTGATGGATCCGAATAAACAGACGGCTGTAGCGAGGCGTCTATGGTTATCGGTGATTATCTGCTTGTGGTAAACGTTAACTTAGTCATTACTTATGCCTCTTCGACGAAAAAGAGCAAGATTTCAACAACTTACTGAGTTTGAGCGGGGGAGAACCATCGGCCATCGTGAAGCTGGATTGTCTTATCGTGCAGTAGCGGTTCGTGTGCAGCGTAACAGCTGCACAGTGATGCGTGTTTGGAAGTAGTGGACGGACGAGTGTCAGACAGCTCGGAAATCCGGGAGTAGACTCCGAATGTCATGTCAGCTCGCGATGATAGACACCTGCTCCGCATGGCGCTGACGGACCGTAGGGCTCCCTCTATACAACTGGCAGCACAGTGGTCAATAGCTACAGGTGTTTCATTGTGTGCTTCATCACTTCGTAGACGTCTGCTGCAGCGTGGATTGCGCGCAAGGACTCCTTTATACAGGATCCCCACCCCACGATAAACCATCGCTGCCTGCGGCAGCAATGGGCCAACCAGTATAGGGACTGGCGTGCTGATTGGCAGCGTGTCGTGTATTCTGACGAATCTCGCTTCAATTTGTGATACCATGATGGCCGCATTCGTGTCAGACGCTATGCCGGTGAACGCAACCTTCCGGAGTGCGTTATCGAACGCCACAGTGGACGAACATCTGGAGTTATGATCCGGGGTGCCATAGCTAATCATGGACGATCTCAATTGCTACGAATTGTGGGTAATCTGAACAGCAACCGGTACATCAGTGAAGTTCTACAGCCCCAAGCTGTTCCGTTCCTTCAAGCCTTGCCAGGTGCTGTATTTCAACAAGACAATGCCCGCCCTCATATTGCTAGGACTGTTCAATCCTTCCCTGCATTGCGACAGGTACAACTTCTTCTTTGGCCGGCGTATTCCCCGGATATGTCGCCGATTGAACATGTGTGGGATTTCGTTGGTCGGTGTCTCGCTCGTGATCCTCGTCCTGTTGCTTCTACAGACGAACTTTGGGTACGCACACAAACAATATGGAATGCTTTTTCTCAGACAGACATTCAAAATTTGCGTCACTCCTTGCCACGTCGCGTAACAGCACTTACTGCGGCGCGTGGAAACTACACAAAATACTGATTTTGATCTCTTGTTATTGTTTGTTTGATTTGAAAGTTTAATCATTCATTTGTACCACTACCACTCAACTGTGTACTAAATTTAATTTAATTATGACGATTCTATCACGGTGTTGCAATTTTCACAAACATGAGTTTACAATACTGGCTTTATTGGGTTTAATTTCGCCTTTTCTGTAACGATTCATCAGATTTTAACCAATTTTTTGCATTTGCACAATTAAGTATTTGTTACAATTAAGTAATGTAAGTTTTTAGACTTTTTTTTCCTGAAACATGCTACATGTGCTAATGATATCGTCCTTAGGCACGTTAGGCCATTATACGTTTGACATGACTGTGCAGAAATATGATCTAATCTGGGAAAACAGCTGAATCTCAGAGGAAGAAATCCGCCTTCAGATCAACATTCTTCATGACACCTTACATGTCATTAGCAAAAATCTCCTTTGAAAAATTTACGCGTAGTTGGTACCTTGGCTACTGACAGCGGGACAAAATATGAGAGAATATGTCAGTTCTCCTTCATTGAGTTTTTGGAACTTTCTCCAAACTATTTTGACGATGCCGTTCGAAAAGTTTAATCGGTTTTCTTAGAATAGAAGAGTGGAGATATTCTTTTTCGGTATAAATAATCGACTTTGTGTAGAATTCAAATGTTTTTAAATCAATTTTTTCATTTTAATATAAAATATTTTTCTACGCTACGCAGAGAATATTTTTTGTCAATATTTCATCAAAATAAAAATTTGTACAAAATATATAATTAGAAATGGAGAATATTATTGGTGCATTTAAAGTAGAATGATCAAACCACATTCTTTAGAAATATATTCTAAGTTTCTAAAAATCGGGAATTATTCTTTAAGATTTTACAACTTTTATTGTAATTCATTTTTCCGAAAGAAATATTTAAAATAGTGATAAAACAACTATTATTTAACTCAGAATAATGACGTCATGTAAAATTTAAGAATTGAATCAATCGAAAATTCAACCCTTAAAAAATTAACAATAAACGATTAACTTCTCAAAAGTTGAAGAAATTCGGTGTGGGCTTTAAAAGCTCCGTGTCGTGGAACAGGTTGCATGTGTGAGACATTGCTGTATGTGTGAGACATTTGCAATTGTACCACAAGAAAAATTGCGCTTTTCTGACGAGAACGCACACGTATATCATTACAGTGAACGTGGTTTATTGATGCCCTGGAATTCACATGTCCCCATTTTGAATTCCAGAGTAAACGATAACGATAAAGCCAGCACTGCACGTGGTTGCATCAGACGATGAAGTGCGCAACTGGTGGAAATTATGAAACCATCAGTGACCTAATTCTTACTGGAGATCTGGAATTTATCGTCTCATGTCCAACTGGGATATATGTATTGAGTGCTTTTGGCAATCATTTTTAAAATTAAACCCAACCAATTGTATGGTTGTCTCATGTCCAACTGGAATATATGTATTGAGTGCTTTTGGCAATCATTTTTAAAATGAAACCAAACCGATTGTATGGTTGTTTCATGTCCAACTGAGATATATGTATTGAGCGCCTTTGACTATCATTTCTAAAATGAAATCAAACTGATTGCATGGTTGTCTTATGTCCAACTGGGATATATGTATTGAGTGCTTTTGACTATTATTTTTAAAATGAAACCAAACCGATTGTATGGTTGTCTCATGTCCAACTGGGATACATGTATTGAGTGCTTTTGTCAATCATTTTTTAAACGAAACCAAACCGATTGTATGTCAGTTTGTATGGTTTGTCATTTATATATTGAAGATGATAAATGACAAAATAGCATGAAAGTTAAGATCGTTTTATTCTAAAAAAAACTCTGCATTTATTCAAATAAAATAAATTTAAAATTAAATAAATTACAATTATAAAAATGAATTGATTACCATTATAAAAATAAATAAATTATAATTCTTCGGAAAGAATGCCAGTTATTTGAATTATTTTATTTTAGAAGTTATTGTTAAATGATAAACCGACAAATTATTTTATCAGGTGGTTGGATGAGAACAACTTAGAAACAATTCCGAATGGGGCATTTCAACGTCTGCAGCAGTTGGAAATTCTGTAAGTTACAGTTTTTTTTATTCTTTAGTAAGTTTTATTTTTTTTATTCTGCTAAGCAGAATCATTGGTTAAGTATTCAAAACAATAAAAACATCTGTTAAAGAAAGAATATTTAATTTTACTTATTTTTTTTATTCATTTTCTATGAAAAATCAAACAATTTAAACTCTATTTTTAGACGAAAACTTAAATAACTTTATTTTAAAAAAATATGCCTTCATATGTTACACGTATCCTAGTTAAAGTAACAGTTAAAAAAATAAAATTTTAAATCATATAGGAAGTTTCTAAACGTTACAATAGAGGGGTGATAATTATTTAGTAATTAAAGAAATTATAAACTTATTTGACACGATAATTCTATAATTTCACTTATTCGGCTGTTATCACAAGTAATTTCTGCATATTTTTTTAAACTCTTGATACTTTTAATGCCATATTATTTATCATAACAAGGGAATCTGAAAACAAGAAACAACCTTTTTATTTAACCTCTTTTTGACGCGCTTCCTTGTAAATACACTTGGTTTGATCATTATTATTCTTTTCAGCATTTGCTGTAGATTTCAGTTTTTAATTTTTTTTATTCGATGACACACCAAAAGTTTTCGAAAAAAAGAAGAAAGTGTAATTTTTTCAATATATATAGAGCGAGCCGCGATGGCTCAGGGGATAAAGCGTTCGCCTCCCAATTAGGTGAACCGGGGTTCGATCCCGGCGATGGTTGGTCCATACGAATTCTGCATCCGGCTTGCACCGACCACAGTGTTGACGTGAAATATCTTCAGTGGTAGACGGATCTTGGGTTTGAGTCCCTTTGCCATCAGGCTAACCGTCGGAGGTTCTCGTGGTCTTCCTCTCCATGTAACGCAAATGCGGTCCACGAAGACAAATTTCTCCCAATACTTCATCCAGGAGTTCCCTTGTCTTCAGGACTGGGTTCAAAATTGCAAGGCTGCATTGTAGTCGTAAGCCCCAAACAAAATTGGGTCGGCTGTTCAACGACGGTTATAAAATAAAATATATAGAGGAATAGAGCATAGGCTTTCAAATGAGGTGAACCGGGTTGGAATCCCAGTGATGGCCGGTTGATACGAATCCCGCATACGGCTTGCATTGATATCCTCAGTGGTAGACGGATCTTGGGTCAGAGTCCCCTTGCTGCCAGGCTAAACAAGGGAGGTTTTCGTGGTTTTCCCTCTTCATGTAACGAAAATGAGGGTTACTTTCATCAAAAAGACATACGCACACACACACACACACACACACATATATATATATATATACATACTCTACATTTTTGCGTTACATGGAGGAAAACCACGAAAACCTCTCTTGTTTAGCATGCTGAAAAATGACAGTCGCTATTTCTCCTCTTTGAGCAAAATGATAAAAAAAAATTTATTAAAGAAAAACCAAGAAGAAAAAAAAATTTTAGATAGTTTTTTCTTCCCGCAATCACTTATCTGTATTTAATAACTCTTAAAAAAATTAAAACTTTTGCTGATGATATTATTATTTTAAATTCCATGCTTCCCTACCTTTTCCTATTTCAGATCTTTATCAACAAATCATTTAATAAACATCGATTCAGGAACACTACAAGGACTGTGGAGTCTTTCCACTTTGTAAGTATTCAACTACTAAATGTTAAAATCAATTAGTAAATTATCTACGTTATTTAATTTACTGCGTTAAAAAAAGTAAAATAAAAGTCTATTCGCTTGGTATTGCGATATTTAGTTAAAAACTAATCGAGAGTTACTAATGGTTTTATTAATTCTGTTAATTAATATTCTGTTTTAAATATTTCAATATTTAGAAACTGTTTTTAACTCAATGCAAAAAAATTAAAGTTTTAAAAAAATTTCTAGCTATAAAGCTTGTTTTTAGTTAAAAGCTTATTTTTTTTAGTTAAAAGCTTATTTTTTTAGTAAAAAGCTTATTTTATGGTAAAAGCTTCTTTAATAGAATGTAGCAATATATTTTAGAAATTTTAAAACCATATATTTTATAAATCATCTGTGCATATGATAGTTATAAAAAAAAGTTCGCAATACGGAACTTTTCATTGTTGTAAACTGTTGTAAAAAAAGCTAAGTAGATTATATAGGTTTTATTAAATCTTTTCGTACGTTTAATATTACATTAATTATCAAATTTCAACATTTTAACATCACTTTTATTAAAACCTTTATGTATTGAAATAGTTTGCTACAGTTGTTAGTCAATAGCATAGCAAATAAAAACATTTGTAACTAAATGCGCATCACAAATATTTATTTCAAATACTTTATAGGGGAATTCAATTTTGTACTTTTACTCTTTTAGATATTTGACTTCGAATTCTCTAACGTATTTGAGAAAAAATCATTTTGGAAATTTCACATCTTTATTGACGTTGTAAGCTGCTTTTTTTTTACTTTTACAAAGAAAAATGTGTTTTTTTTTAATAAAAACTAAATACTGAATATCCTGTTTTTTCCCCTTTTTTAACAGGGATTTACAAGATAACGATATCTATACCATAGAAATTCAAGCTTTTGAGTTGTTGAAAAATTTAAATTCACTGTAAGTATTACAAATTAAATGTTTCCATATCAAATAACTTTTAATAGCATTTAATAAAGAATTTTTAAACCTTATAAATGCCTTATAACCATTGTTAAGCATTTTAATTTTTTTATATTTGTAGAACAATTTGTAACGCTTATGTGGGATTAAACAAGAATCCTGTGTCTAAGTTGCCATAGTAGTTAAAAAAAACTCTAAGTTCATTTTTATTTGTATTGTATTCGTTCTGTATTGAATTCATTTGTCTATTTTATAGAGACGGAGCAGTATCTCCTAGAACTCCTTAGCTTCAGCACGAGTTACCATAAATAAGAAATTTGCTCTTTTAGTAATCCAAACGCAATGACATCCTTCGTGTTTTCCTCTACTGCGCAGCTTTTGTACTCCGAATGTGGTGATATTTTCTTATTTTTCCTCCACTGCGCAGTTTATATTCGTTACGTTGGAGCTCTAAATTGATCCGTGCTGAGGCCTTCTTTCTTCTAAGATGTGTTGGGTGCAGGCGGTTTCATTTTAGACATCGATGTTATATAAGAATTTTTAAAAAACCTCAATGGTCAGACTGATGGGACCATCGGACATCCGATAACCACCAGTCCTAAAGCCAAGAAGTTCAAAGTTCCAGTGAATGCATAGTTACTAACGGACACTTAGGAGCATTGGAAGATATCTAAAATTTGGCTAGTTATCGACAGTTAATATAGTCAACTCCACGTTATTAATATTAAATTTTAAATAATCTGGCTACGATTTAATCTCCAAAAAGACCGTTAAAATTTAATATAATCCTGTAACCGTAATATTTTGTAGTTAGAAAAATAAAGTATCTTAAGTAAAAATAAATTCAAAAAAAGATTCTGATATCCGATAAGTCGCGACGCAATGAATCAATGAGTTATATACTTGTATTGAATTACGAGTAAAAAGTTAACTGTAACGCTGATTGTCAAGAAAAAGAATATATGACATAGATCCAAATAATTCGTTAATTTGGATCTATGTCGTATACTAAATTGATACACCGATTAATACTTTTAGTACATCGATTATTAAATTCTAAATAACTATTTTAGGAACGTGAAAGGAAATCCTCTACGGCATATTCAGTCTGATTGCTTCAAACCTTTGGTGTCACTTCAGTACATGTAAGTATTGCCTTCCTGTATAAACCACCGCAGTACTGGCTTTCAACTCGACGTTTTAGCGTGTAAACACTATCATACTTAGAAACTTAATATTATGAATGTATGCAGAAAATGTTCGGGAAATACCATGGAATAAAAAAATACAACATACGATGTTTAGTTCGATAACTATTAACTGTTAAACTTGTAAGAAATAACTGTTGTGTACTCTGCAGAAATGCAACTACAGAGTTGAAATTTGACGAGTTGAAAGAGCCATATTTAATAATGAGTTCAACACTAGTTTTTCACTAAATTTCGATTTGTACAAAAGTTATTGGAATTTTAATTGCCTTTTTTTCGAATTGTTTCTTATTTTTTCCTTTAACTTTATGAATAAAAAAATATAACATACGATGTTCTGTTCGATAATTATAACAGTTAAACCAGTAGGAAATACCTGTTCTGTATTCTGCAGAAATGCGAATATGGAGTTGCAATTTGACAGGTTGAAAGGGCTGTATTTATTAATAAATTGAACCCGAGTTTTCACAGAATTTCAATTTGTTCAAAATTTATTGAATTTTAATTGCTTTTTTCGAATTTTTCCTTACGTTTTTCCTTTGAATTTGTGACTAATTATTCATTGTTCTAGTGAATTTTATTATCTTGTTCGAGGTATTTATTTTATAAATGCGTGCTTGAACTGATGTGAAAAATAGCAAATATATACCTTATACAAATCTTAACATTTATATTGAAATTTATAAAAATATAAAATTCCAGAGATGTAAGAATCGTTTCCAATTTGAACTGTTACAATTATAATATATTGTTAACAAATAAAATTACTTCTAACTTAATTCTTCTTATTTTATCAGATTTTATCAAGTTTTTTTTCTCGAGTTCAGTTGAATAAGTTTCTAACCAGGTAATTGCTCATTTCATTGCAAAATAGACAATTACCTGGTATGAATTGTTCATTTATTTTCTGGCATAAAGTAAAACGTAGTTGTATAATAAAATTATCATTTTTTTTTTAGAAAAATCACTTAAAACAATGACGATTGAGAACTAATCAAGTTGCTTAGTGCTCAGAATGACCTGTAGGTGGAGCTTCATAGCTATCAAAATTAATTTTAATACGTGACCTATAAGTTGATAATGTTAAAAATGATGAGTATGCATAATAGATAAACAGAAGGAAAGTAAACAAAACTGATAACGATATTTAACGACTTATACCGCTAATTGCCGTTCAATTGTCGTTTCAACCGGGAATTAAATTGTAATGTCTTTCTTGTCCATTTCTACAGTAGTGATATGTTAGATTTTGATGACATTTTTCTTTTTTCCTTACTTGAATATTAATTTACAATCCTTAATAAGTATTTTTTGGCTGCATTTTTCAAAGGACTCTAAAAATATATATTAAGGGTGATCGTTGTGTAGCATATTGTATATTATGTCTCATTTAATGGCTCGCCATTTTTGAATATCTGTTAGAAATATTGTGTTTTAATTTTAATTAAATTTTAATTTAATTATTAATGAAATTTTAATTAAATTTAAATTTTAATTTAACTTTAATTGACAGTTCATTGCATTTGAAGGGTGAACCGGTAATTTTTTAACATTTTCCTTGAGAAGTACAGCAATAAACGGAAGGTCACGGACTTTTTAAATTTCGTTATTAACATTCTTAACATTCCAGAAGTGCTTTTTTCTTCAAAATGGCAGACATTTTAATAAAATTGTAAAATTTTATTTATTGCTTCGAAAAGGCAGACAAATTTAAAAAGCTGAAACCATCTTCATTTGAAGCAGCAGACTGAAAAAAAAATTTCCAATTTAAACTGGTTAGAGAAGCAGTAGAAGATCGAATTCAATAGCTTTCATGATAAAAATATTTTATTTAAGAAACATGATTATCTGCTGCTTTGTCAACATGCTTTTATTAAAATGTATTTCATATATTTTAATAAATACATTTTCAAAATACGTGAATTAGACTTAGGTGATGAAAATAAAATAAGGCTTTAAGCTTCTTATTATGTTGATACTAGGTTCCAACCGGTTTATACCGGTAGGAGCCTAGAAGACAGTTACCTTTATTGAAAACATAGTTATTGTGGTAGGACTATAGTTTCAAAATTATTATTTCTCCATTAGAATTAAAAGATATATAGATCTGAAACATGGTACAACAATTAAAATAACACGAAAAATCTTCAAGTGTTTATTAACAACAGTATTAGAACAGTTTACAAAATCAGAAAAAAAAACGTATTTTCTCTAAATAAACATATCTTTTTTTCAAAGAATTTGGATTTCTGACCCCCAACATAAAACAGTAGCCGCAATCTGGGAAATATGGCCCCTATAGTTTGGTCAAAAGAGAGACCTTAAATTTCAACCTCATAATGTTACTTTTAATTTATTTGCGTTTTTCTCCATATCTTGAGAACTTTTTAAGGGAATTAAAAAAAAAAATTGCAAGCAATTGTGAAATTCGGTTGTTCAAAAATAAAAGATCAAAAAAATTTTTAGTTCATATATATTATTTTTTTATTATTTTATTTAATAATAGTCGAAAAAATTGAAACGTAAGGTATGCAATTTTTTACATAATTTTAGAGTATGTAATTTTACATGGCAAGATACAAAATTTGAGTGAAATCGGTTGATTAGTCCCTGAGAAATTGAATTTAAAATGTACGTTTTCTCTAAAATTCGATTTCTTAGGAACTATATTTTAAAATTACATACTTAAAAATTATGTAAAGAAATTGTATACCTTGTAATAAATTTTTTTGTGGCTATTATTAAATAAAATGATAAAAAATGATAAATGTTTAGTAAAATTTATTTTTTGCATGAATGGATAAATGAATTTTATAATTGTGTGTAAAATTTTTTAAATTCGCTTAATAAGTTCCCAAGATATAGTGAAATACGCAAAAATTACAATTAGCACTATGAGGCCCAAATTTTGGATTGCTCTCTTGACCAAACTATAGGGGCCATATTTCCCTGATTGCGGCTGCCCCTTATATTTTTGGGGTCAGAAATCCGAATTTAATGAAAAAAGATATTAAGAGAAAGTAAGTTTATGATTTCGTAACTTGAAATATCGTCTGCCCTAATTAATTAGCATATTTGAGGCCATCCTCTCGAAAAATTAAGATTGAGTCCTTGTGCGTGCATATACGATCATTAAAATCAAAAGTCATTCAGGGTGATCCATTTTATTATTATATTTTTTATGCATTATACATGTAGTTTCTTTTCCTTTTTTTCAGATATTTTTCCAATTTTTATTTTTGCTCCTACGCGCAGCATGTTAGAGTCTGCGAGCCAAACAGTGATGGAATCAGTTCGTTTAGCCACCTTTTGGATAATGTTTTACTGCGAATTTTTGTCTGGCTTGTTGCAGGGCTGGCTTGTGTTGGAAATGCCTGCGTCATGATTGGTCGGGCATTAGTAAAAGAAACAAACAGCGTACATTCCTTTTACATCAAGGTTAGTATATTCAATTTCCCAACCAGATTTGAAATTAATTGTTTGTGGTCTAGGAATAAAGGATGATTTCCTAATTAATTTACTGATATAGTGACAACACTACTACTCTTAATGTACTAAATATTGAGAACACAGAAACACCATTTAGAATACACTATTTGACCACCTGAAACATTACGGTAATGAAATTTTTTCATGGCCTGGGTTCCTTAGTTCATGTGGTTGCTAACTCTAAGATGTATACCGGCAATGCTGCTTTCCCAACTTTTACAGCAATATTTTAAAAAAGGTTCATCATTTCTTCTCCAGCAGGAGTATTATTTGATGGAACTAATCCGCATTTGTGTTGCATGGTGAAGAAAAACACGAAAACCTCCNGCCGGGAGCCGAATTCAAATCAACCAACTGAGTCATCTCGGTACCATAGAACACCACTCTTTGTCTTATATTTTATAACCGTCGTTGAAAATCCACCCCATTATTCAGTTTTCGACTACAAATGTTAAACTCTGTAGCCGTGAAATTTTGAGCCCTATACAATAGAGAAGGAAACTCCTGGATCATCTATTAGAAGTTAGCCCTCCCACAGTTAGCCTGACGGTAAGGGAACTCTAACCCATGATCCATCTAACACTGAGGATATTTTGCGTCAGCACTAAGGTCGGGGCGAGCCGGATGAGGATTTCGAGTCCACCAGGCATCGCTTGAATTTGAACTCGGGTCATCTTATTGGCAGGCGAGTGCTCTATCCCCTGAGCCACCACGGCTCCATAGAACGCCTTTGGGACGAATCTGAATACAGATTATTTAGCCAAATCTACTATCCTCACATCTAGCACCCACTTTAAGTGTAATCAATAAGACGCATCTTGTATTCTATCAAAACTGGTGGAAAATCTCCCCAGGCGAGTGCAGATAGTGTATAATGTTTCTAACTTACATCTTGAAAAATAATGTGTTAAGTTTAGAGTAAACTAGTTTTAACTTAGATATGTTAAGAATAAGATTTTAACTTTATTATGGATTATTTATGTCCACATAATGTTTTGTTTCAAGGAGACACAATATTTTTTTCCTTGCATAATACCCAGCATCAGATTTTATCTTGATTTATTTATTTTTAAAATTTTGTCCTCGTGAGAATTCTTCTTATGTAGACAATTTCCAACGCAAAATTTGTAAAATTTTGACCTTATTGGTTTAATGACCATTTTAGATTTTGCATCCGTCGGATTATGTACTGCTTACTGATTTTTTTCAAATCTTTATTTTGACCTTTAAAGTTTCATGTCCATTTGAAATTTAATTCTTTTGGAGGTGAACTCAAGCGCCACAATATTTTGATCCTTCATCATTTTTTATCTATTTGAGATTTTGTCTCCGTGAGATTGGAGGTACGTTAGATTGTGTAACTCGTTATGTCAACAATGAGATTTTGTCCGAATGAGTTTATAATTTTTATTAGGGACTTTGTTCCAGCAAAATTATGTCAGTGTGAGAGAGTTGGCTCTTTCGAAGTAAAAAGTTCATTTTTGAGAATTAAAACAATTTCACATTAAAACGATTTATAAATTTTTTTTTTCTAGAACTTATCCGTGGCTGATTTCATGATGTGCTTATATTTGTTCATAATTGCCGGCCATGATGTAGCTTTCAGAGGGCAATACATTCATCATGATGTTCAGTGGCGACATAGTTGGCAATGTACTTTGGCGGGAATGTTAAGTACTATAAGCAGCGAAGCATCTATATTTATCATGACTTTAATTACTGCTGACAGGTAAGTTCTCAGGTCTCATAATTTAAATATAATATTTATCATTTCTTCCGTTTTTTTTATATAAACGAATATTTTAAATTTAATAAATTGTAAGAATAGCAGAGCACTAAGCAATTTTTCTACATAAGTTTATGATGTATGACTGGAAGAAAGAAATAATAAATTTAAGACAATTTTATATTCTAGAAAGGATTAATAAAAACTGATAATATCTGACTTTTCTAGGAGTATATTTTGAGTTACACGTAGACATATCGCTCACTATTTCATTTAATCGAGTTTTCAGAGCAACAGGTTCTTAATAGGAACTTTTGCTTACCAAACAACAGTGTTCTTTACTTTCTTGTATTTGTGTTTTATGTTAGCCGGTAGCATATGAAAGACGTCAATGTTGAAAAACTACCGATTTACGATGCTTTTGAAAATAGATATCCTGCAAGTCATTGACTTTCGTCTACACAGACGGTTCAATGTTTCAAAGATGTATTAGACCTGTACTGGAGTTTATTATGAATACTTTGATTTCTTTAAGGACATTAGCAGAAACACTAAAAATTTAAATTCTATTTTAAATGTTTTGAAACAAATTATGGTGTTGATACGAAAATTTATTAACGTAGTTATAATGTCTGATTCCAAACCTACTTTCAGGCCATCTCCAATAATAAAGTTTGCAATTCTAAACACCTTTTTGATGTGTTTTGAAATCATTTACTGATTCTGCCGTGTTGCAGAAGGCTCACTCCCACTTTGGAAAGGAAAGTAATGCAAGAGTTTATTACCTTGCCAAGAAAGGTATCACTGTTTTGCGCAGAGACCTAATCAACCTTTGACTTTTCATTCTGCTAAACGTCTCACCAAAATAGAATTTGGGAAAAGATTTAAATTGGAATTGAATACACGAGCTAGGGGAACAACTCTATGGTACTGGATCGTCTTTCCCGGTCTAAAATTCTACTGTTTCTACTCTCCGTCTTATAATAGGACGCGATTGTCTTAATGCCAAGTCTCTTTAAAATTGGACTTAAGAATTCCCTGACTTGCTGTCTTTGTGGTATTGGGCTGTCAATGGACAGTTGCCATATCGACACGTGCACTGCATTTAATTGTAATTGCATTTTTCAGAAATATTGGGAAGCCGAAAGACTAATGACTGGATTGCCATTTGCTATAACTAAATAAATGATGTTATTGGGGTTATAGGCAGGCACCAAAACTTTGAAATAAGTGGGGTGTTGCACGAGCAAGTGGATTAGGCTATTGAAAATGCAAAGGATACGCTTACTTTTGGTGTCGAATGCGTGACCCATACAAATACGTGAATGCATGTGTGCTCCATTTACTCTTGAGAAACATAAGACTTCTTCTGTTTTCTATGAAACAATGTTTTATCTATGTGCAAATGAGTTGTAGTGGCTTGCTTTACACTCGAAGTTCACAACTTAGTGAGAAACTTCATCTTTGTATATTACAAGGGTAATTTGGAATTCCAATTTCCCCCAGCACTTAAAAAAAGCGAAATATAATTACCTGAATTGTTTTATTGCAAAAGTACTTACAAATTTTCAATTCTGAATCATTAAAATATCTTGATTTTTAATTAAAAAAAAGTTTTCTGTCAAAATTACTTTGTGCCTCATATAATTGTACATTTTTATTGTAACATAAATAAGGTATTTTTCAATCTCATTGTCTCGCATGAAATGAACCGAAGTTTGAAATTATATGTCATCAATTTTTATTAAATTTATTAAAGTAATTGAAAAACTATTCTGCTGGTTTTTATTAATCGTGTTTTACACAGGTATGTTTCGATCGTCTACCCTTTAATGCACCGTAGGAGGAACATGCTTTTTGCTGGATCCTGGATAACGGCTAGCTGGTCAGCTGCAACAACCATTGCCATCTTACCATTTCTGAATCTCGGTTACTTTGGAGATGAATTTTATGGAAACAATGGAGTTTGTTTACCACTCCAAATACATGATCCATTTTCAAGAGGCTGGGAGTATTCCATGGTAGTATTTTGTGGCTTGAATTCCATAGCTTTTCTCTTCATCACCTACGCATATATAACCATGTTCATCACGATCAGCCGATCGAAACTGGGATTGAGATCGTCACAACAGCAACAAGATCGAATTATTGCTAAAAGATTCGCTTTCATTGTTGGTACGGACATGTTATGCTGGGTGCCTATCATAGTCATCAAAATCTTGGCTGTATCAGGTAATAATAATCAGGTATTTCATAATGTTAGATCAACATAAAACAAGTAGCACATGTTTTAATGCTTTATAGATAAACTCAAATAATAGGGTAAACTAACCAGTGAAGGAACACTTAAGCTTCGCTTGCCTTTTAAAAAATTATATTAATTTCAAAATTCGTAATTTTAGTTAAATAACAGTGTCAACATAATTGTTACTAATTGCAAATTATGTAAAAAATTGTAGAGAACTTACATAGTATTGTTTTAAAGTTTTAGAGGTTCAAATAACAAGTAGTAAGAAGACCAAGTGAAGGAACAGCTCTTACCAGTGAATGAACACCCAGTAAAGGAACACTTAATTTTGGTTATTTTTCAATGCTATTTATGAATTTATAAGCCATACAAATATTTAAAAGCCTATTCTTGAAATTATAGCATATAAATACTTGGAAAATGTTAACTATTTTTTGTAATCATGAATTGAAAATTAAAGTGTCAATATATTAACACATATTGTTCATTCACTGGGAAATCTATGCCCAGTAAAGGAACATGCCTGTTCCCTCACTGGTTCGAAGCTGTTTTCGCATTAACATACTTTTGATGCGGAACATCACTAAAGGTACAAGAAAATTAAAGTTTATCTTTTATTTTCATTAACTTAGAAAAAAAACCCAGTAAAGGAACACTTGTTCTTTCACTGGTTTTTTATCGTTTGGTGACCCCAGTGAATAAACACCTACTTATCTCAGTACTTTAATATGCTATGATGCTTAGAAAAAATAAAACGTAACTTCAATGACTATATTCTGAATTCTCTTTTTCACAGTGAGAAAAATAAAACCATTACATTGCAATTAATTCCACTTCAAACGTATAAATACAAACACTCACTTTATAATTTTTTCAAAGAAACAAAGTGTTGTAGAGATAATAACAAATTCAAAATTTTTTCCAGAGAAGTCTATTTGACCAAGTAAACCAAAACATTGCTAGATGACTTCCTATTGTTTGGCAGTAAGCTATTGTTACCAATCAATCCAAAGAAAAACTTTCAAATTCTTATTTTTAACCAATATATATGAAATGTTCCTTCACTGGGTAGTGTCCCTTCACTGGTTGGTTTAACCTAGCTTTAAACAACTTAAAATACTAAGTAAAAAAGATATTGCGAAAATTCTTTGCTCTTCTGTATTGCTTTTTACTATTTTTTGTTGTTGATAAGATCAAATTGCTATGCAACTTTAATTTTCTTTTCAAAGAGACGTAATAAATTCGTAGGACAACACAAATTTAACAAAATTATAAAAGAGACATTTAATCTGACAATGAGTTTTTGAGAGATAAGAACATTAATCTTTCAGTAAATTTCTTCTTTTAGGTGTTAGAATATATTCTGAGTTATATGCATGGGTCGCTGTGTTTTTACTACCTATCAACTCTGCTCTAAATCCAGTACTTTATACGTTAACCACGAAATTGTTCACGCAGCAATTAGCGAGAATAGTTTACACTTGGCGAGCAAACGGTGTACAAGCTGCCAGTCCAATCGAATCATCTGGGATATCAATGACCTCAGCTCATTTTAATGGAAGGTTTTCAAAGAACAACAGTGCTTCATTAACTACATCTGATGTAAGTATTTGTTTCAATTGCATTGAATTAATTCCCATTGTTAAAACGCAGAATGGAATAGATTATTGTTAAAAGAGGTAATCAAAACTTACGTTACAGCTCAAGTTCCTTTGTAAAAACGAAATACAGGACGGAATAGATCATAACAATGGCGTTCTTAATAATAGTGCTAGTGCTAATTAATAATAGTACAATAAGGCAGAGAATAATAGGGAATAAATGCTTCAAAAAATGATAGTGCTACTACTATCATTTTAACTACACCTGATTTAAATATTTGTTTTTCAGTTGCCTAAAATTCAGCTCCATTGTTAAGTCGGCGGGTGAAATAGATTAAGCCCACTGAAAGCTTTAAAAATAAATATGTAAATACTAATAGAACTTAACTTAAAAGAGCAACTAAAAGACGCAAAATTTTCTTCTTGAACAGCGATGGTTCAGGGGACAGAGCGTTCGCCTTTGAATGAGGTGAACCGGGTTCGAATCCCGGCATTGGCTGCTCGATACGAATTCCGTATCTGGCTTGCACCGACCACAGTGCTGATGTGAAATATCCTGAGTGGTAGATAGATCATGGGTTAGAGTCTCCTTGCCATCAGGCTAATCGTGGGAGGTTCTCGTTGGCCTCCTCTCCATGTTACGCAAATGCGGGTTATTACCATCGATAAGTCCTCCACGAAGGATGATCGATAAGTCCTCCACGTTCAAAATTACAAGTTAAGGAGTTGAACATAAGTAGTTGTAAACCCTAAAATTGGGTCAGCTGTTCAACGACGGTTATAAACTTTTTTTTTCTTCTTCATTTTTGACGAAACCATTTCATGAAAAATACTCCCAGATAACATTTAATCAAATTAAGCAAATTTTTACATCCCCTACTTTTATCTTTAAAATTTTCCCAACAGCACTAGGTTTAATGTAACGTATCGATTGGAGCAATTGATCAATAAATTTGACATAAAATAAGAGTAGTTTGAGTGACCATGACGTTGCCAGAAATTAAACACTGATAATCTGCTTGATAAGCGAGCGCATTAACACTTTTACCATCCCATCATACAATGACAGTTTCAAAATTAAAAAATTTTTTTTTAAAAAAAGTTGTTGAAAAATTTCTAGAATTTACTGAGATGACGCACGAGTAAGGAAGCAGCTTCGTCAAATATTTGAGAGTTCACTTTTCGTTAAATATCAAGAGATTTCAGAACGAAATGACTGCCAAAAATTAAAACAAAAGAAATATAGTGAAAAGATTGCTGAATTGTCAAAAATGAGCTAGTTTTATTTCCGAGAGATCAAAGGGTAAAAAATAGCTTTGATAAATCCACGATGAATGTTTCAATATAACTACTTCTGTTATACAAGATGTGGCGTATTATTTATGTTTTAGGAATTATTGTTAATAATGAGTAAAAATATATAAACATATTAAGGATCATAAGTCAATTATTAAGCTTTTAATAAAATAAACGTTATCAAAATCATACGAAACAGACGCAAAAGTGAATTAAGAGCAAGGTTGAAGATCAAGGGGAAAGAACGGTTTAAGTCTATTTTTCAGAAAAATGGCAAATTTACTTTCGATTCGATGCTAAGTTTTGACAAATCAATCGGTGATCCTTGAGAGCTGTTACACAATGAAGATGGGTTGTGTTGGAGAAAAACTGCTTCAGTTTTCCTTGAAATTTTTTCTTCTTCTTAGAATCAGTTTTTATGGAGATTACTGTTTTACTTAATCTTCCATAATGTTTTATCCAGACTTATGTCTCATTTAGACTTTTTAAATCGCGGTTTCTTTAAATCGTCAGACATTAAAATCTTTTCCTAACAATTATTTACGATTCTAATATACTTACTATCTATAACAGACACATAATAGTAACGGACACATAATTAGATATAATCCTCTCTTTCAGAAGTGAGAAAAATAAACACGCTGTCCAAATCAGATGAATTATTATCTTGATCTATACGAACAGAGCAAAGATTAAAATTGACGAAACTTTAAAATTAACACAGTACTTTTCTTTATGTATGGCATTTAAAATAGAAGCATGGAAAAATTGTTGTTACATTTCCCCCTTGCCAATATTAGTAAGCCTGCTGACTGCTTGAAATCAAGCGCATTTTTATGTAAGCGAGAGAGTGTTCTTATTTTTCAGTGGCGCCATCTATGGACAAAAATACGATTTTTTCAAACACGTACATTACAACCCGTTTTGCAGGGAGCACTCATTCACACACCTTTCATTCATCCGCAAATCATAATTTGGACCTGAACAAGAGAATGATCAATCTCCGATTCAGTACTGCCCGAGGTATCTTGGATGGCTTTGTGACCCCAACAGATTCAGCATGCACCAGTCACCATTTAATACATAGGGTTTCCTCGATCGGCTGGATTTTAACTGCCGTTCGCACGAGCACGAGTTCAACGTCCTACCGATCATGCTATCTTGGCCTCTTATTTCCTGTTTTATTAATTTGTATTAACGCATTTACATACATTTTAATATATTTCTCTTCTTATTTTCACAGTTGGACCGAAGCGTTAGTCGATCATCACTTCTTTCTGCCAACAGTCGAACGTCTGGTCGATGCTCGTGGCCAGCACCTTTGGCTTACATTGTGTACCAAAACCATTGTTTTTAAGCTGTGGGACTTTATTTTTATTATGTTATTGAATTTCTTTTATAACCCTCTTTACCTTATGCACACTTCTGTTTGTTTCTTAAAAATTACGTATTGGTACGTAAAAACAATTTTGATAAATGATTCACGCTTAACGGGCATAGTAGGAAGGACAAGTTACGAGTAAACACATAACTATTCAGGCTTTTAAAATTATTCTTATTGTTGGATGCATATACAAAATAATAAATTTATTTTGCCAATAAGACTAGCATAAGATAAATATATTGAAAATGTGAATACTTTTGCTAAAATTCTTGATGTGTAAAGAAAATAAAAACAATTTTTTAATTACACATCAAAGAAATGAATTAATAAAAAATGATTTTTTATAATTATTTATTATTTTTTTTATTATTGATTTTAAAATTGGTAATATTTAAATTATGAGGTATAGAAGTTTTAACATCATTTAAATAATAACTGTGTAATTTTTTATTCCAAAAAGTAAAAATTCTTAAAAAATGAATAACACAATATTCTTGGTGTATCGAAAATGTTATGACAAACTTTTAAGTACAATTTATAAGGATTGAGAGTACCTTAAAACTAAACAAAATTGATTATAAAATTGGTGTGCTTCAACGATTTAAAAAAAATTTGTATTCATAAAAAAAAAAATTATTCAAGATGGCAAGTTTTCTAATGAACACGTTGACTTTATATTAACCTTTTGCTTAACATAACAGTAAAAGAGGAGATAGAGAAGTCAAATGATTCCAATGTATAATTGATGTTTTCTTAACAATGTCAATAAAAGAAATAATATAATATCAGTGCGAAACATGTCTGGAGAGAAACGTGCAAAGGATGAAGTTGCGTTTTAGATAAATCATTGAATCTTGAGCCCGATTGCATTAACAGCAACATGAAGGCTGGCTTGAAGTTCCAGTTAGCAACTGTACTTATTTTTTATCGCCCCAACTGCAGGAAATAGGAAGTATAGAGGACTTATTGTGAACTTATTTTTTCATATAAAATATTCTAAAGTGACCTCTAATGCTTCATAACAAATACTTCGTCATTTACAATAAATAAATTCGTTCCACGCTGTTTTCAAGTGAACAAAAATACATCACAAGATTTATCTTAAAAATAATTTTCGGAAATATATCGACCAGTTTCTAATAATCCGTGTGAATACGTAAAAACCATAAGGAGGCATTAGCACCAGTCGTACCACGTTCCGTATAAGTTCACTGGCGGCAGATGACTCCCTATCACAGGGAAGGTACCAAAGCAAAATCTTCGTTTGCTAACAACGATTTTGTGGACTACCATTTGGTGACCACAGTACTAAATAGATACAGTTTTTAACAATTCCAAACCCGGCTCGCACAGACCACAGTGCAAGCATCAGTGGTAGACGGATCATGGGTTAGAGTCCCCTTGCCGTTAGTCTAACAGTAAGAGGCTTAATGGTTTTCCTCTGCATATTACGTAAATGTGCATTAATTCCATCAAAAAGTGCTCCTCGAAGGCAATTTTCTCTCAATACCTGATCCAGAAGTTTCACTGTCTTCTGGATTGGGTTCAAAATTACAAAGCAAGTTGAACATAGTCGTAAACTCAAAATAGGCTTGACTGTTCAGTGATGGTCATGAAATAAAATTGAACATACATTTGAAGTTTGAACACCAAAATATGCATTCCAGGTCTGATAGCGATCAAGCATTCATTGTTGGACACAGTCACACACGAGGAGTTTCTTAAATTATAGATGCAGCGCAGACCTGTCTTACCATGAGATTCATTGTTGTACTCTCTACATCTTAAGTTCATAATACTTGATAGTTTCGTATCCTCATCAAATAAGAAATAAAGGCTAGGGGAAACTGTGCAATGAAGTAAAAAATATCATTACAGTATTAGAGTATAGAGCACCACCTAGTGGAGTACAATGACAACTCTCAACCTTAAATTACGTTTCATCTGCTCAAAAAGTTTGTCGCTGCATTTTTAAAGCACCTTGTCTATTGTAAAACTGAATTGATCAAAATTTAATTAAGTGTAACTCAACATGTTATTCTACTAAGCTCTCTTATTTTTATTTGGTATACCTCACAGTATTTCAATTTTACTGATTCGAACTTAACTTAAATGTACCTAGACCTTGAGTTTAACCTAGAAACGGGAACTTAAGGTGCAGACATAAGAGGTTTTTGAGGTAGAAACGAACACAAGTTGTATTTTCTTTTTTTAACAGCCAATTTCATTTAAAGTCAAACAATGTTATAACATATGTTAAACCAATCCTTCTGCAGTATTACAAGTTATGTTTTTCCTCGGATCGCATTATTGCTCAAATTTTCTGTGAATTGAAATAAATATAACTCTTAACTTAATAATTTACAATTTCCTATCCATTCTATAGATGGAAAAATAGCAAAAGAGTTTTTATAAAATGCTTAATTTTAATACATTTTTGTAATACTTGAAAGATTTTATGGCTAAACGTGCAGCATTTTGTTTCTTTAATCACTATTTTTGTATGGTAAATCTTGTTTTAATTTAGGCATTTTACGATTTTTAAAAGAAGTCTTAGAATCTCGAAACTGACATGATTTCAGTTTCCTTTTAGAAAAAAAATCTGCTAAGAGATTTTTTTCGAAAGATAAATTTGATTTAAAATATTTGACCCATCGATGATGGCGTTCAAAGAAAACGACAAAAACGATTTTAACTGACTCGCTGTTTTGGAATAATCGTTAGCCACGCGTTGAACAGATGAAAATTAATGAAACAAAATGCCATACGTGGACGGTGATCCATTCTGCAAATCATATTTCTTGAATAGAACAAAGGGGAAAAACTAATTTATAGAGCTTGCCATAACGTTACGTTGATAAAAGTTTTCCTTTTCTGAATAGAAGAAACAATGCTGATAAACAAATTTATCCAGCTTGCCATGGTGCTAAGCGAATAAAACTTTTCCCTTCCTGAATAGAACAATGGGAATAAACTGCTTTATCCTGCTTGCCATAGTGCTAAGCGAATAAAAGTTTCCCCCTCCTGAATGGAAAAAAGGGGGTAAACTGCTTTATCCTCCTTGCCATAGTGCTAAGCGAATAAAACTTTTTCCTTCCTGAATTGAAAAATGGGGATAAATTGCTTTATCCTGCTTGCCATAGTGCTAAGCGAATAAAAGTTTTCCCCTCCTGAATGGAAAAAAGGGGGTAAACTGCTTTATCCTCCTTGCCATAGTGCTAAGCGAATAAAAGTTTTCCCTTCCTGAATAGAAAAATGGATATAAACTGCTTTATCTTGCTTGCCATAGTGCTAAGCGAGTAAAGGTTTTCCTTTCCTGAATGGAAAATTGGGGATAAACTGCTTTATCCAGCTTGCCATAGTGCTAAGCGAATAAAAGTTTTCCCTTCCTGAATAGAAAAAAATGGGGATAAACTGCTTTATCCTACTTGCCATAGTACTAAGCGAATAAAAGTTTTCCCTTCCTGAATGGAACAAAGGGCCTAAGCTGATCTATCACATTTTCAACAGTGCTAAACGAGTTGAAAGCGCAAAGAAATTTAAAACAATTATGTCTTATAATGATGATAGATCAAATTCTGACATACCTTGTAATTGTAGGAGATATCTGAAATGTCAGTAAGATATACTGTTTTAATATTATCTAAGAAGTGTTGGCGATGCTCTATTCTGTAGATTGTTATCTGTTTTGTGTTTTGTATCTGTTTGAGTCTCAAACATAAAGCATCACTCTCTGATGTGAATTTCATTGCATTAAATGTTCATCAATATTTTGGTGTACTGTGTGCCCCACCCCCCCATAAAACAACTTGAATAACTTTTGATCTAAGGATCGAATCTTCACGTTCTCGGACTCAATCTTAATCGTTCGGTGGGGTGACATCAAATATATACTAACATATTAGTCCAGTCGATATTTTAAGTTACGAATACAGACACAAAAACGTACTTTCTCTGAATAAACATACTTTTTTAAAACAGATTTGGATTTTTCAATCCCAAATTATAGGGAGTAACCGCAATCTGAGAAATGTGGTCCCCGTAGTTAGGTCAGGAGAGCGATCCAAAGTTTGGACCCCTTAATGCTAATTTAAATTTTTTGCATATTTCGCCATACCATTTCTTAAGTGAATTTAAAAAACTTGCACACAACTATAAAATTCGTTTGGACTAAGACAATTCCGATTAAAAATTTTTTTTTAATAGATATGTATTATTTTTTATTATTTTATAAAATAACAGCTGAGGTATGTAATTTTTTACGTAATTCTTAAAGAATTTAATTTTACATTCCAAAATACAGAACTTGAGCGAAATCAGTCGAATCGTTCCTGAGAAATCGAATTTTAAATATACGATATTTTTAAAATTCGATTTTTCTAGAACTATTCAACCGGTTTTGCTTAAATTTTGTATTTTCCCATGTGAAATTTGATACTTTAAAGCAAAGTAAGATATTGTATACCTTACAATTCAAAATTCCTTCGAAAATTATTTTATAAGATAATAAGAAATATTAAATATTTTCTAAATTTTTTTTCTGTCTGGAATTATCTTTGGAAAAACAAATTTTATAATTGTGTGCAAACAATTTTCAATTCGCTTTAAAATTCCTCGAGCTATGTAAAAATGTGCAAAAAGTAAAATTAACATAACGGGTCTAAGCTTTGGATCACTCTTCTGACCATACTATGGTGACTATATTTTCCACATTGCGGCTACCCCCTATATTTTGGGGGTCACATATCGGAATCCGCTGAATAAAAGGTATGGTCATTTCGGAGAAAGTACGTTTTTGTGTTCGTTTCTGATTTCGGAACTTAAAATATCGTCTGTGTTAATTAATTAGAATATTTGAGGTAACCCCCTGAACTATTAAGTCCTAGAATGAACTAAGTCCCAGAATGTGCTATTCAGAGTGGTCTGTTTTTTTTTCGGTGCACTGTACATTATTTAAATATTTATCCAAGTTTTTCACAGCTTTATTGTAATACTTTCTATATTTAGAAAATTTGATTTCAACAGAGGCAAGCATTCGTTTTATAGACACAGGTAATGAATCAATCCTGATTCTAATAGATCGTGATTAATCATGCGTAAAAATTTCTTCGTTTGTAGTCAATCTTATCTAGGAGTCTCAGTAGGATTTTTTGTTTTTTAAGATTTTTGTTTGGATTAAACACATTCAATATCTTTCTGAGCTATCGATTCAAATGCCG